GAAAGCGAAAACTGGACCCATTCCTGACACCTTACACTAAAATTAACTCCAGATGGGTTAAGGACTTAAATATAAGACCTAACACCATTAAAAATCCTAGAAGAAAACCTAAGCAAAACCATTCCGGACATAGGCATAGGCAAGGACTTCACGGCTAAAACACCAAAAGCATTCACAACAAAACTCAAAATAGACAAATGAGATCTAATTAAACCTCCAGAGCTTCTGCACAGCAAAAGAGACAATCATGACAGTGAACTGGCAACCAACAGAATGGGAAAGAATTTTTGCACTCTACCCATCTGACAAAGGGCTAAAATCCAGAATCTACAAAGAACTATAACAGATTTTCAAGAAAAAAACAAACAATCCCATGCAAACGTGGGCGAAGGATATGAACAGACACGTTTCAGTGAAAGCATATATAAGGCCAACAAACATATGAAAAAATGTTCATCATCACTGGTCATTAGAGAAATGCAAATCAAAACCACACTGAGATGCCATCTCACATCGGTTATAATGGCAATCATTAAAAAATCTGGAGATCCAAAATTGACACCCTATCGTCAAAATTGAAAGAGCTAGAGGAGCAAGATCAAACAAACTCAAAACCCAGCAGAAGACAAAAAATAACTAAGATCAGAGCTGAGCTGAAGGAGATTGAGACATGAAAACCCCTTCAAAAAAATCAATAAATCCAAGAGCTGGTTTTTTGAAAAGATCAACAAAATAGACAGACCACTAGCCAGATTGATTAAAAATAAAAGAGAGAACAACCAAATAGATGCAATAAAAAATGATAAAGGGGAAATCACCACAGATTCCACAGAAATTCAAACCATCATCAGAGAATATTACAAACAACTCTATGCAAATAAACTAGTAAACCTGGAAGAAATGGATAAATTCCTGAACTCCTGCGTCCTCCCAAGCCTAAACCAGGAGGAAGCTGAAACTATGAATAGACCAATAACAAGGTCTGAAGTTGAGGCAGCAATTAAGAGCCTACCACACAAAAAAAGCCCAGGTCCAGACGGGTTCACAGCCGAATTCTACCAGACACACAAGGAGGAGCTGGTACCATTCCTTCTAAAACTATTTCAAACAATCCAAAAAGAGGGAATCCTTCGCAAATCATTTTATGAGACCAACATCATTCTGATACCAAACCCGGCAGAGACCCAACGAGAAAAGAAAACTTCAGGCCAATATCCATGATGAACATAGATGCAAAAATCTTCAATAAAATATTGGCAAGCCGATTGCAACAGCAAATCAAAAAACTTATTCATCATGATCAAGTAGGATTCATCCGGGGGATGCAAGGCTGGTTCAAAATACGCAAGTCTATCAACATAATTCACCACATAAACAGAACCAAAAACAAAAACCACATGATTATCTCAATTGACGCAGAGAAGGCATTTGACAAAATTCAACAGCCCTTTATGCTAAAAACCCTCAATAAACTCGGTATCGATGGAACGTATCTCAAAGTAATAAAAGCTATTTATGACAAACCAACAGCCAATATCATACTGAGTGGGCAAAAACTGGAAGAATTCCCTTTGAAATCTGGCACTAGACAAGGATGCCCTCTTTCACCACTCCTATTCAATATAGTACTGGAAGTTCTAGCCAGAGCAATCAGGCAAGAAAAAGCAATAAAGGGTATTCAAATAGGAAAGGTGGAAGCCAAATTGTCTCTATTTGCAGATGACATGATAGTATACCTAGAAGACCCCATTGCCTCAGCCCAAAAACTCCTGAAACTGATAAGCAACTTCAGCAAAGTCTCAGGATATAAAATCAATGTGCAAAAATCACAAGCATTTGTCTACACCAATAACAGACTTAATGAAAGCCAAATCAAGAATGAACTGCCATTCGCAATTGCTAAAAAGAATAAAATACCTTGGAATACAACTCACAAGGAACGTAAGAGACCTCTTCAAGGAGAACTACAAACCACTGCTCAACGAAATCAGAGAGGACACAAACAGATGGAGAAACATTCCATGTTCATGGTTAGGAAGAATTAATATTGTATAAATGGCTATACTGCCCAAAGTAATTTACAGAATCAACGCTATCCCCATCAAGCTACCATTGACTTTCTTCACAGAACTGGAAAAAACCACCATGAACTTCATATGGAACCAAAAGAGAGCCCGCATAGCCAAGTCAATTCTAAGCAAAAAGAACACAGCAGGGGGCATCACACTACCAGATTTCAAACTATACTACAAGGCTACAGTAATCCAAACAGCATGGTACTGGTACCAAAACAGAGATATAGACCAATGGAACAAAACAGAGGCACCAGAGGCAACACAACATACATACAACTATACAATCTTTGATAAACCTTACAAAAACAAGCAATGGGGAAAGGACTCCATGTTTAACGAATGGTGTTGGGAAAACTGTCTAGCCATGTGCAGAAAGCAGAAACTGGACCCCTTCCTGACACCTTACACTAAAATTAACTCCAGATGGATTAAAGACTTAAACATAAGACCCGGCACCATAAAAACCCTAGAAGGAAATCTAGGCAAAACTATCCAGGACATAGGAGTAGGCAAGGACTTCATGAACAAAACACCAGAAGCATTGGCAACAAAAGCCAAAATAGACAAATGGGACCTAATGAAACTCCACAGCTTCTGCACGGCAAAAGAAACAGTCACTAGAGTGGATCGGCAACCAACAGAATGGGAAAAAATTTTCGCAGTCTACCCATCTGACAAAGGGCTGATATCCAGAATTTACAAAGAACTCAAACAGATTTACAGGAAAAAAACAAACAAGCCCATTCAAAAGTGGGCAAAGTATATGAACAGATACTTACAAAAGAAGACATATATGAGGCCAACAATCATATGAAAAAATGCTCATCATCACTGGTCATCAGAGAGATGCAAATCAAAACCACATTGAGATACCATCTCATGCCAGTTAGAATGGCGATCATTAAAAAATCTGGAGACAACAGATGCTGGAGAGGATGTGGAGAAAAAGGAACACTTTTACACTGTTGGTGGGAGTGTAAATTAGTTCAACCATTGTGGAAGACAGTGTGGCGATTCCTCAAGGCCTTAGAAATAGAAATTCCATTTGACCCAGCAATCACATTACTGGGTATATATCCAAAAGACTATAAATCGTTCTACTATAAGGACACATGTACACGAATGTTCATTGCAGCACTGTTTACAATAGCAAAGACCTGGAATCAACCCAAATGCCCACTGATAATAGACTGGATTGGAAAAATGTGGCACATATACACCATGGATTATTATGCAGCAATCAGAAATGATGAGTTTGTGTCGTTTGTAGGGACATGGATGAATCTGGAGAACATCATCCTCAGCAAACTGACACAAGAACAGAAAATGAAACACCGCATATTCTCACTCATAGGTGGGTGATGAAAAATGAGAACACATGGACACAGATAGGGGAGTACTAAACACTGGGGTCTATTGGGGGGAAAAGGGGAGGGCCAGTGGGAGGGGGAGGTGGGGAGGGATAGGCTGGGGAGAAACGCCAAATGTGGGTGAAGGGGAGAAGAAAAGCAAAGCACACTGCCATGTGTGTACCTACGCAACTGTCTTGCATGCTCTGCTCATGTACCCCAAAACCTGAAATCCAACAAAAAATTAAAATAAAAAAAATATTCTTGAAAAAAAAAACATCTGGAGACAACAGATGCTGGAGAGGATGTGGAGAAATAGGAACATTTTTACACTGTTGGTGGGAGTATAAATCAATTCAACCATTGTGGCAGACAGTGTGGCGATTACTCAACGACCTAGAAATAGAAATTCCGTTAGACCCAGCAATCCCATTACTGGGTATATATCCAAAGGATTATAAATCATTCTATTTTAAAGACACATTTCTATTACATTTCTATTACACATTCTATTATAACATGCACATGTATGTTCATTGCAGCACTGTTTAAAATAACAAAAACCTGGAACCAACCCAAATGCCCATCGATGATAGACTGGACAGGGAAAATGTGGCACATATACACCATGGAATACTATGCAGCCCTAAAAAATGATGAGTTCGTGTCCTTTGTAGGAACATGGATGAACCTGGAAACCGTCATTCTCAGCAAACTGACACAAGAACAGAAAATCAAATACCACATGTTCTCACTAATAGGTGGGTATTGAACAATTAGAACACATGGACACAGGGAGGGGAGCATCACATACTGGGCTCTGTTGGGAGGGACTAGGCAAGGGATTGTGGGGGGTAGGGTGTTGGAGAAGGATAAGATGGGGAGAAAAGCCAGATATAGGTGATGGGAATGGAGGCAGCAAGCCACATTGCCATGTGTGTACCTATGCAACAATCTCGCATGTTCTGCACATGTACCCCAGAACCTAAAGTGCAATAAAATATATTAAAAACAAAACAAAACAAAAACAAACAAACAAAAAAACACTGACTAGGAGAAATTTGCTATTTTGTTTTAGCATTGTTTTGAAAAATCATACCATGTGTGAAATATGAAATTTATCTATAAACGAAAATTTTAGTATTATTTGTGAAGAAAAAAAGTATGGGGTACTAACAGAATTGCATGTATTACTAGAAAATTACATATGACACAACAAAAATGTGTGGGGTAGAGGGACAGGGATAAAATGAGAGAGAAAGCAAAAAAAAGCAAGAAAGGATACTCAACACATAATGGTTTATCTTGAGTAGGGAAAAGAACTCTGGTCAGAGTATGTAGACCCAAGAAGGTTACTATTCTTGGTATGTCTCAGTTGCCTTTTAAGAATCCTAAGTTATGTTTCTGTGAAATCACATGATATAATAAACATGTAAATAATTGTGTACCCAGTGTGTGGCATTTGAATGTCTCTGAAAACTGAAAGCTGAGCTAATGCTCATTTTATCTGAGAGGCCTGTAACTGCTATACATCAATGCAAATTAGATTAAAGAGATTTTTCACTTATCTTCATACCTCTTCATGTAGTTCCCTCCAACGAGAATTAAATGTCTCAAGTTCCTCATTGATCAGTTCATCCATGACTCCACCATCTGTTAGGGTCTGTGCCAATATGCGAATCTGATTTGGGTTATCCTCTGAATGTTGCATCAAATTTTCCAGTGACTGAAACACATTTGCAATAATTACTATTTCTCTTCTTTTTCTAAATACATTAACATAAAATGCTCAGTATCTTCTGATTTACATACGATTAAGTCATTAGCAATTTAAAGCCAAATTTAGTTGGGATAAAAACACCAAGGAGTATTCTTGTTTCAAAAAAGAGGATGTCATTGTATATGAATCTTCATGGGATTATGACAGCATTGTTGACTGAAAACCTAAAATGTGATTTACAACTACATTTTTCCTTGACGTCCCCTAACTCTAAAACCTGAAGCCATAAAGCACTCAATTTCTCAACTTCTCTGATAGCTAGTGGTGTCCAAGGAACACAATTATGAAAAGGAGTACTCTCTGAATTAGTCATTTTGCCCTTCCTATTTTTTTTCTTTTGCACATACATGGCCTGGAGGTAGAACACTCATCTTTGGACTGGGAGGCAGTGACTATGAGTGTGAGGTCCTTCATGCTCAGAAAGAGAGAGCAATAAGAGAATGTCTACTTCCCTCATAATATGGCTGAAACATTATCATCCCTGGGTTACCTCCATTCAGTATTCTTTTTGTGGTGGTAAAAGATCATTTGTGAGCTTAAGCCATTGTCTGATTTTCTGTTACATACATCCCAGTAATACCTATATCCTATACTGCTCAAAATTGAAAGTTGTCTGGCTAGACAGTATGATGAAAATGAATCTCACTGTCAAGTGTAGGGATGCTAGAAAACAAGTGATTCAATTTAATCTTACTGCACCCCAAACACATCTATAAAATAAGTGATGGAGATATGTTTTAACAAATTTATTAAATATTCTGTTTTTCTTGTTTTAAATAAATTAAAATGTTCTAGTACATATTTGTAATTCTTCCTGGATATTTTTCTTGAATTTTAAGCAACCTCAAAATATTTTCCTCTTACGTTTTGAGAAAAATCAAAATATAGAGTCTCCTAATAACATTTATATTTAAAAAGTCACTATAACCTGTAAAGTACCTAAAAAGCCATCACATTTTGAGTAGACAATGTAATTGTTAATAATTTTTCTTATAATTTATATATTTTATTACTTCTAACAAACCTTAGTTTTGTAAATATTTATAAAATGGATGAAAATAATGTTAATGGATACATTATTTTATATACAAATTTTTATAAATTTAAATATAAATAAATTTTATATATACTGTATTATTTCTTAATACAGTATATACCTTGCTACGTTTTTTTAAAAGTGTACAAAAAGCAACATAGTAAAATTAAGGCATCTGTTATAAATACCTTGAGTTGCAAGAAAACCTAGAAGTTCTATACTTTTTCTCTCCTTGACACATGGTGATCTAGCCTTTTGCCCTCAAAATGTCTTCCCAGATGAACATCAGCAACATTAGCAAAGAACCAATTTTATTTAAAATAGTAAGTATTAATGGTACGGTTTTTTCCCCTTTTTAAAATACTCTTCATTATGGCTTCATAGTTTCTCCCTTTCCTTATCATTCCTTTCTGAACATACCCTAGTTTTTCAGTGCATCACTTAAACTGTGGTATCAAGAATTTAGCATGTTCAATCTGACAATTTCATAGGATAACAGCATCATTGTATCATTTATTCAGGCCACTGTCCTTTTATTAATGTGCTGTAAGTTTGCTGCATCTTTTCTAGAAGATGTAACACACTGCTGGTTCATAGAAATGTTTGGTCAATTAACTTCTCTGGATACAACAAATTTACAATCATGGTTAGTCAAACAGGGACAAAATTAAAGTCCACTGGAGATCTACTTTGCAATATTTAATACCTTTTCAGGTTTTATAATGTTCTTTGGAAAATTAGGAAGTTGGATAAAATGATCCATAGGTGTCTGCTCTGATGTTCTAGGATTACAATTCTATTCTGTCTAAAGAATTATTTTACATTTTCTTCACATCTTGAATAATTTATGCTCCTTATTTTGTATATTTACATGAGGGCTATACTACATATGGCTCTATGTGCATATACTATGTATTCTAAAATTACATATTCATTACATATAGATAAGTCAGAAGTACACTAAAATGCATAGATCTTGAATGTTTAATTAAGTGTCAGAATTCAAAGTCAAAGTTTATAAATGCAAACTCATTTAAAATTTAATTTTTAAAAGTGTCCAAAGTAAAACCTGAAAGTGTACTTATATTTTAAGAATATTTTGAAGATATATTTCAAATATTAAAACATATCCATTTAATAACTCAAAACATTCTGTAAGCTATAAATTTTTGATTTTAAATAAGAATAAAATATTTTCCAATTTAATACATGCAGGTTTTAAACTGGAAATAATGTTTCATATTATCATCCTGATTAGCTCTAAAGCAGTAAAATTATTTATTCACATTATCTTTGCAGGTTTGCGGTAGATTTAATTAGGAAAAGTGTCTATGTAGAACTTAGTGGTATAACAAAAGCAAATTTCCTCTGTAAGAGGTTATTTCAACCTTCTGCAAAATCTGTTGACCTAGAGGTTCTTAGAGAGAACAAAGCCTTTATTCAAAGTACCAGTGCTGAGTTATACATAGTAATTACACTCTCTTGAGTTGTTTTCTTTGGATTTGTCTTCTATTTGGTACTTGAATTCTTTTAATAATCCATATAAATTATCATCATTTGGTTTAATTTACAACTTACATTTAGCACCTCAGAGATTTCCTCAGCTCCGCCAGGAATGTTTTCAGTGGTTTTAAGTTTAAATTCTACTTCATTTAGCCACTTGTTTGCTTTCTCCAAGTATGACAATAACTCATGCCAACATGCCCAAACTTCCTAGGAAAGAAATATATAACACAGATTAAATATTATGGTAGAAAAGTAAATGTGAATCTCTGCCATTACATTTCTGAAAATATAACACTTTATTTTATATTTTTTGTCTTTACTTTGTAGCAAATAATTTAAGATGCAGCTAGACATTTTGACCATCTAATACCTCTGTAATTCAAATCATTAAGGAAACATTTCATTACATGAATGATGAATACATTCAAGATATAGTAATTTACTTTTTAAAATGAAAATATGCATCAATATTGCAGTCTGTGAAACAAAAAAATAAAGGCATATATAAATCTAACATCCTTACACATCAACTGTCACCATTATTCTGTGACATTCTCTAAAATATATCGTATATAAATAATCTGATAGTTAAAACCTAAATGAGTTTAACTATAGCTCTCTTTTCACTAATATTTTATCATATAATTTACTGTATTATGAAGAAGATATTTTTAATGGAAATCTAGGACTTCATTTAGGTGGCACTTTCTTTAACAATATACATTTATTAGGCTATTTTTACTTTTGTTTTCTATCATAATTTGTGGTAAACATCATCATGAATATGGACTATTTTTCCACATTATGATTTCCTTGAGGTATATTATCAGAAATATTACTACTAATTCAAAGTTTGATTATTTTTAAATGGCCATTGATATGTATTATGAAACTGCTTTATATACAAAAGTACTCATAAAAAAGCAAAACTTTAAAATTTCTACAAGAAAATATAGACGAAAATATTTCCGACTTTGGCATACAGAAGAATATCTTAAGTAAGGCATCTCATAAAAAACTGACCATAAGAAAAAAGAGATGACTGCTTTAAAATTAGGACCTTCTATTCATCAAAAGACACCAAGAAGTAATTGAAAAACAGCCTCAAACTTGAAGAAAACAATTGCAGCCTTTGTAACACACAAGCATATGAAAAAATGCCAGCAAGTCAAATAAAAGATGAACAAAAATCCCAATCAATAATGAAAAGAAGACTTGAACCAAAATCTTAAAAATAAATATGTATATACAATAGACATAAAGATATGTTCAACCTCATTAGTAATCAAGGACGTGTAGGCCAGGATTGTAATGAAATACCATGTTGATTGACACAAATGAGAAGTTTAACAATGCCACGTGTGAGAGAAGATACACATCAATGACAATTTGTATTTATTGTTGGTGGGTGTGTATACTGGAATGACCATTTTGGAAAACAATTTGTTAGTGTCAGTAAGGTGAACATTTACATATCCATCAAGACAGCAACTAACATTTACATATCCATCAAGACAGCAACTCCACTTTTTGGTACATGTATCTTCAGAGAAACCATTTAGCACACATAAAAAAGACTGTTACAACAATGATCATTTCAGCACTTTTTGTAGTAATCAAAAAAGAAAGGAAATAATGTCCACTGGAAAGAGAATGGATACATACACCATCATCTTTAACAGAGAATACAGATGCGACAATAAAAATCAAAAAGAACTGTAAGAATGAATTCAGACTCAAATATATTGGGTAAAAATACCAAGCCCTAAAAAAGTGTATAGTATGGTTTAACATTACTGTAATACTAAAATTAAGCAAAACTGAAGAATATATTGTTTTTTCATTTATATGTGTGTGGATTTTTTAAACCAAGGAATAATAAAGGTGGCTTTCTAGATGGTGATTATATCTACTGTAAGAAAGACAAAACGATGTAAGAGAGAATAAGAATATAAAAATGGACATTTTGTGTTAGCTTTGGAAGTGTAAGTATAATGGTGCAATCATCACCACTCACTACCACCTGCCTCCGCTCCAACAATGACCACCAAAACTAAAAGCTTGAAAGGAAGCTCTATTTTAGGAGTATCTACAAAATTAATCAAATTTCCCTAAGTTCTCCTTCGTTCACAGCCCTTAAAACAACGGAGAGTATTACATCTCTATCTAATGAAAAGTATTACTCTAACCTGCCTGGCAAGCCTACCAACCTATTATACTTGCTTGGTATCTTATGTATAGTTTATTGAAAAAAGTGAAATTAAGTATTTTGCTTTAAAAGGTGTTAGAAATCTTAAATCTGGGTCATTGCATTTCAGCTCCTGCTGGACTACAGGCTGTCTTCATTCTGGGCAAAGAGCCCAGTGGGAAAATATAAATATCTTCTTAAATACCCGAGGGTACCTTACAGCTTTGAAGACAAGGCGATGTGATTTGTAATGTGTCTTATTAACTTTGGTGCAGATTGAGGTAATGAACTACCTTGCTGATTTAACCATCAGGATGGATGGCCTCTTCTGTCCTCAATGCATCTGAAGGACACAGCTGGAAAGGCTGAATGTACCAGCTTTACAGGTCACCTTTGCAAAATAAAATATAGTCTTGAAGCCCAAATTGGAGCTAAAAGCCACTTAGAATAACTGTTAAGCTTAACAGTTTGAAATTTTAAATTACTTTGAAATCACAGAATTCAGAGTGGCTTTGAAGAATACAAATAAAAAAAGTAAACTTCTGTTCAAAATATTAGATGGAGCTGATGAGGTAACCCCCCTCATATTCTGTTTCAGTTATATCAAAATGCAGGTTAAAATATAAAGGAAATCTTTTAAATTCATAACTGATCTGTAAAACATGTATATAAAATCTCAGGTGTCAGAAAAAAAAAGAGGGAAGTGAAAGTACGGAGTGGAAAATCAAGCTTATAAAAATACTGGCGTATCAGAACAGGATATATTACATAAAAGCTAGGGCATTTAACACTAACTTGAGATGGAAAATGAGGCATGCCAGGGAGATGGGAAAGAATGATGCAGTGTGGTACCCATCCTGGAAAGAAGAATATCCCTAACCATTGGAATGTTGTGAATTAGCAAGGAAGCCATTTTGGGGTGATTTTTGCATGAAAAATAAAGATCCACCCATAAAAAATTGAAATTAAAGCTTTTATCACACATGAGGGCAGAGCATAAAATATCTACAATCCTGTTGGCAACAAATAAAAAAACTCAATAGTCCAGAGCAAACAAAAGAAAATAAAAAGTTCCAGTAAAGGGAATTCCCACTATAGACAAGCTTGCAAACAAGAACAAAAACAAACAAAAACCTTACAAGCCACACAGGAAATTCACTTCCATTAGAGTGAGTCATTAGTTATAACAAATGGTAGAATCCATACCTTATGACATAAAGATAATATAACAATTTTAGAGAATAGTACAGTAAATATGCTTAGCCTCATGGTGTATGTTTCCCATAAAGTTTATTTGCTTGAGATTGGAAACTGAAATTGACACCTAAGAACTAGAAAGGCTTGGTTGCCTACATTTCATTTTGGGAGAACATGTCTTTCTTGTTTTTACAAGCCTTGGTTCAGACAGAGAGGGCTGATGGAGAGGACATTTGAGGGAAGTGAGAAGAGAGTTTGAATAGTTAGGCATATCTTTCTCACCCTTTTATAGGGATGAGTAGGATAAATTCATCTGGGTCATTTTATTTACAGGACCTAAAACAGAACTGCTCATCTACTGGGTGTTTATATTCATGAAGGGGTGGGTGTTATGGCCAAGAAGGAATCCAAAACAACTCTCAAATTTCTCATTCCTGAAAGATGTACAGTATGGGTACTTCCAGTGACCCCAGGTTCTGAGTTGAGATGTGGTAGGTAAATGAGATTCCAGGGCATCACTAAAGCACTGGTAAAAAATATATAATATTCAAGAGAATTTCATATAAAGCTATTTACAAGTGGTGGCTTGAAATTCATGTTAAACACTTGAGGTACCATAAATGCCAAGGAGATCTTTTTTGTGGGGCTCAAGGGTCATATGAATAAGGCGAATCTGGATCCTCAATAGACCAAATCAAGTCTATAGAGAATAAGCCAGGTCAGTGGTGATAACATATAGAAAAGGGACAACAGACTAAGCATTACAGATGTGTTTTAACAAAAACTAATAGCAATTTTGGGCAGCCAAGAGAAGGACATTCACATTAAGGGAGTATTTCTCCTTCTTCATCCTCCCTTATATCAACAGGAGATCAGTATCCAGAAACTGGGTGAAAGGAGGAGACCGTGAGACCATTTATTCTCATTCCTGCCTCTGTATAAATTGCTGAAGCAACAGATTAATCTAAACTTGTGGAATATTTGATTAAATTATAATATTTAAATTTAAATTACAGTAAATTTTGATAATTAAGAGAGAATAAAAAGTAATGAGATCAGACAGAAATATTATTTAAGAAGCCAGCTACCAGACAGAAAGTGAAGTTTGACAGAGTTGGGTATAGTTATTGGAAAAATAAGACTGTTTCATGTTTACTACTCATTAAGTTGAAATGTTTCAGTCAAACAGATGGTATATGTTTAAGTTGTTTAACTAAAAGAATAAATAGAATTAATCATATAAAATAAGAAAATCATAAAAAGATTGTGAAACAACTCAATAAAATAGTGAGAAATGGAATATGTTTATAAAAAAATGTAAACATACATAAATATAGCAAGATAAATATATACACAGATAAGGATGAAAATATTTCTCTATTGAAGGATAAATTATACCATGGGCAGCTGAAGAGAAATTTTCAGAATTGGAAGACAGATTCTAGAAAACTATCCAAAATTGAGTGGATAGAGATAAGAATATAGAAAATATTAAAGGGAAACCAATAATTGCAATATGGGAAGGGGATAGTCTTAAGGGCTCTAAGAAACTTTTCCCTTAGAAAGGGATAAAGAGATTGGGAAAAAGAAAATCTTCACGAAGAAAATGCAGAACCACTAAATAAATATTTATCTGTTCTAATTAACATACCAGGTCACAAAGTATAAACAGAAGCAAATTCACACATAGACACAGTTGAATTAAACTGTAGAAGACAAAAGAGAGTGAAACTGCAGAGCATATACAACAAAGAGAAAATTTAAAGGTGCCAGAGAAAATGATAAAGGAACAATAATTTGACAGCAAATTTCTTAAAAACAAAAAATTTCAGAAGACAAATAATATTTTCAATGTCGTTAAAAAATCTGTCCTCACATAATTACCTGCTCAATTGCATCATTATCCAATATGCAGGACAAAATAAAGGCATTTTCTATATACAAAATCTGAACACATTTGCTACTCACACTAAAAAAGCACAAATAAGAAACTGAACACAGAAGCAAAGAAAAGAACAAAAGGAAAAACCAGTCACAGAACTTGGGAAAATAGCATTGGTAAATCTAAATAAATAGTATATAAAATAGATAAAACAATAGCAGCAGCAGCAATTGTATGGACTAATTTGGGGGGAAAAGGTGAAAATGAAATCCTAGCCAACCATAACGTGGAAGATGGAAGAGGAAGGTTTAGAGTTAAACCATGCTAATGTTTCCACCATATTATTGTTAGAGAGGTATATAGAAATATTTACAGTAAGATAAAATAAAGTACGTATTCCAAACCAGTAGAAAAGGAAGAAAATTGAACTAAATAATTTGGTAACTTCAATATGAATAGGAATTGTTAGAAATGTCATTATAGATGAGAAGGAAATGGGAAAATAGTCCAATAATTGGTCTTGAAAATTTTGTTATTAATATGAAAATTTTAAAATCCCTTTGGAAAATGTACTCCAGTATAAATTTCTGATGAATCACAGAGTATCATTTAAATGAACAACATGAATAATAAGGAACAGTGATGCTTATTTAAGGACATTAAGAACATAAGAAAATAATAGTAGGTGTTTTATTTAAATATTATCAGAAAGCATTTCCTGGGTACAAAAAGTCCTTCCCTATTGTAACATGTTAGTGAATTATTGTAGCTTTCTTGAGGCATGTACAGTGCTATCTCATCCCTTCCCTTCCTATTCATTGTTATGTTTTATATAGCACTCACATAACACTGATATATGAATTATGTCTTTATATCCTCAGAAACTATAATATTTTCTGACATATAGAAGGCACTTGTCAAGAGTCTGAGAAGTAAACTGGATTTAAAAAACAAAAGAATAAGGATGAGTAAAGAAGAACTAAAAATTGATAATGCAGAAACTCAAAGATCACATTTTATAATTAGAAAAGGATAATACTGTATTGGGAATATATGGGGTACTTTAGCTACAAATACATTTTTAAATATTTTTAAAAGTGTACTTTATTATTGATCTGAATTTTACCTGTCTTTAAGTATCAAACCCTCAATATATGAAGCAAACTAAACGATAATGCTTTTCAAAAGTAAAGAGGTACCTTAACACTTAATTAACTATATTCACAAAAATAACTCAGTCTGTGTGAGAGAAGGGGGCTTAATTTAAAGTCCAATTCATGTGCATTGTCTGGCATCATCAGCATTTGTAGCAGATAAAGTTTTGTGCCCCTTGGCACAGTATTTTCCTAAAAAAGGTCATAGCTTATTTTTGATGCAATTACATTGCAATCATTTGAGACACCTATATTCTTTATCTATATTCAGATAAGCATAATCTAGATAGTAAGGCATCCATAAAAGTTAAAGCAGAACTTGTGATAATAAATAAACATAATGTAAAACATCAAAAAATATAGAGCTAGTTAGGGATACGTGTCTAACAATTATATGGAGCAGAGAAACTACTAATGACACTTATAGTAAAAATATACTTCTCTACAGAATACTTTTCCCCTACGATACCTAAATAAGTTTATATACATACAAATACAGGAAAAAATAAAAATCATTGTCTATATATCTGGAGAAAATGTATTTATAGGATTTTGTGACCTAATAGTAATAGTAACAAGAAAAATTAGAAGCACAGCTACTCACATGTACTGAGTACTAGGCTAAGCACTTTAAAGAGAATAGCACACTTAATTTACTCAACAACTTATGAATTATGTATTTTTTATATCTGTTTTACAGATTGAAAACAGGCTTATACAAGTTAAGCAAATGACCCAAATCATACAATTTATAAGTGCCCGAATGAGGATTTGAAACCTAAGTAGTTTTACACTAGAATCCATGTTCTTAACCACTATGCCTCACCTATGACCATGTACTAACATATAATTGATAAAGACCAAGAAAAGCAACTGACTTCCAAAGTCTTGCACTTCCCATTCAGCCTAGTGCAGAGCCACTGGTAGTTGGTGGTTAGAGTTTCAAGTTCCTTCTTTAAGGCCTCTTGTGCTGCAGGTGGAGCTTGAGCTATGACACTATTTACAGACTCAGTAAGGAGTTTCACTTTTGCTTCTTTTTGTTGGGCCTCTTCTTTAGCTCTCTGAAAGATAAAGAATGCTCTCTTAATAGCATGAAAATAACTTTACATTCAAATTGCATTTCCATGTATCATATAATTACTTCCTCACAACATGCCAGTTAGAATGAGATTTACAAAAATAAATCTAATATGAATTCCAATCTCTTCCATAAATGTAAGGTTAGTTGTAATCAGAAACTTAAATAAATAAATTATTAACATAATATAACAGATCTTTAACAAGAAGAGATTGAAAAGTAGTCTGCATGTGGGTATGGATTTGTGGTTAAATATATACATGTCGATATAAATACAATTGTTTGGAAAAGGCAAGAAACAAATATTTCAATATTAACTAGGTTAAAAAATATTTGGCAGTCTAGAATGGAAATCACTTATAAATTACTCAGATGAATGAATAATATCAAAACCATCACAAATATGATTATATGAATCAAAGGATACTTAGCATAAAAAGGTCCCCTTAATGCTACATTTAGGAACTTATCATGATGAAGGAAATAAATTTTTGTTTAAGAATTGAAAACACCAGAGATAAAGAGAAACTGGGATATCAGAAGCTGGCCTGACACCCAGCTATGCTTTGGCCTTCTCCAGTGGAAAAGAAACTGTTTCACATAATTTCAACATTGGAAAAAGCCACTTTGTTACCATAACATATCAAGACCACAAGATCATTCCATAATCATGTCTGAATCCAGACAAAAACATCAACATTGCCCAAACCACAAAATGCCAGTCATTCCCCTATCCTGGTTTAATAGAAATGAATGCTGTTTCTTTGTCAGTTATGACTATAGTGTCATTCTGGTCTTTTCTTCTGGACAAGGTATGATACACATAGACTTATCCCCACTCACTAAGGACAAGCAATACAAAGTAAAGCTTTTAAGCACTCCCTTAAATCCCCTAATACAAACACAAATCCTATCACCTTTTTTCATCCTCACGTACCCCATGGCCTCCATGTTGTGTATTCTCCCTCATTGCAAAAAGGAAGGAACCCAACTTGTTCACCTCCAAGAGAGTTAGTGGTAATTGATGTTTGATTGGAAGACATTTACACTCCTTAACTTCAAATGTGTACATATATTTTAGAAACACAAACACATAAACACTGTGTCTTTAGTCTGTGTTCTTCCAGGGGTCAAACATGACATTAGCTTTCAGGCATAAGTAGTTTATAAACATGTGCCAAGTGAAAGAAATTCTGGTAGCAAAATGGGGAATTGAGACGAGAAAGGGAAGAGAGATCCCTATGTTCATACTTATTAATCCCAGCAAACACTGTTACTGACTGGAGTTTAATCCTGTTAGAAAGCCCTGAGAAATATATGCTTGTGGATTATTGCATTCAGGGGTGAAGGCATTGGGGTATTATTTCTGTATCATCTTCCATAATTGTTGAAGGCTGTGAGAGAAATGTTAATTTCCCAGTACTTGCAGCCTGCTACACAGGTGCAAAAGTAGGATTCAGTGGCCACAGAAATTCAAGTAAAGAAATGCAGGTTCTATCATGCAGAATTTGAGCCTGCATACAATGCAGTGGTGAAGGTAATGGCTTATGTGCAGGATATGGACAAGGTCAACTAGAAAATGCCTTTGTATGTGTCAACATAATCACCCTAGTCCTTTGGATTTAGTCCCACAATTCCTTAAAATATGGATTTTGTCAGAAAATGCAAATTGTTTTGCCTATAGAATGTTTGCCTTCCATGGTGTATATGTACCACATTTTCTTTATCCAGTTTATGTCCTTTGCAGGGACATGGATGGAGCTGGAAACCATCATTCTCAGCAAACTGATACAAGAACAGAAAACCAAACACAACATGTTCTCACTCAAGTGAGTGGTGAACAATGAGAACCCATGGACACAGGGAGGGGAACATCACACACCGGGGCCTGTTGGGGGGTGAGGGGCTAGGGGAGGGATAGCAGGGGGTGGGAGGATAGGGGAGGGATAGCATTAGGAGAAATACCTAATGTAGATGATGAGGTGATTGTTGCAGCAAACCACCATGGCCCGTGTATACCTATGTAAAAATCCTGCATGTTCTGCACATGTACCCTGGAACTTAAAGTATAATAAAAACAAAAATTTTAAAAAAAAGAAAGTTTGCCTTTGCTGATTTTAATTTAAATGATTGAAATCTTTAGTTCAATATTCTAAATAAATGAGCTTTTTGGCATCACTGAGTACAGATACAATTTGTATATCTTGGCTGTAGTAATTACAGTATAATCAACAAGATTGATAACCATTCACTTAGTATGTGCTACTGTGTTCTGTGACAGCCATGTCACAAGTGCTACATCATTAGATCTTTAACCAAACCTTCTCAGATGTGTTTTGTTATCTCTATATTGCACAGAGTTCAAGGAAATCATCCTCAGAGTTATATCCTTTCTTTCTCATAGTTTCTGTTAAGCTGGTCTCAAATCCTCCATGAGCTGAGGAAGGAGCATGCTGTAGTGGTTCTAATGAATGAAATTATAATTTATACTCATTATAAATAACTCAAGCAACTATCTAAAAATGTAGAATGAGGAACACTTCTTTCCATGGTTTTTAGGCTTCATATATTCTTGTTTAATAAGAGGCTCAGACATTGGGAAAGGCTCAGAGAAGAAACAGCAAAATTTATTAACCCAGGTACATATGAGGAAATGAGATAATGATGAATTTCTCTACTAGGAGAAAAAGGTAGACAGCGAAATGACTGGCACAATTTCGACACAAATCCTCATAAAAATGGTGGCTCTTGTTTTATTTCTTTCCATGAATCTAACTATGATATGCTCTGACATCTTTCATTGCCAGTATTTCATATAAGTGCTTCTTAAAGTGAGCATCCTTGGCATCACTCTGGAACTTGTTCCTTGGCATCAACTGAAACTTGTTAAAAATGAAAAACTTCAGGTCTCACCCAGACTCACTGAATCAGAAACTCTGGGGTCAGGGCTCTGTGTATTAAACAAGTCTTCTAGGTAAGTCTGATGTCCAGGCGCAGGATTCACTGCTGTAGTGATTATACAAATTTATTTGTGTATTTACTATTCTAACTTCTAATGTAAGTTCTGGTAATCACTAATACTAGAGTTATAGTAGTGTAAAAATAAAAATAAATAAAAAGGAAAACAGTTAATAAATTTCCAGAGTGTTTTTCAAAGGATTTTACTATAAAGTTTTGCCATATAGTCACTGCAGATCTTCATAAAAGTTTTAAAGTAAGAGGTTGTTTATCAAACACTGCTCTGGGTTCTTTTATGTCAACAAAAAGTTTTCTTCTCAGGGGAAAAATAAGTTATGAAAACAGCACTTTCATTTTCAAGTAAAATATAGGAAAGAACATAAAACAGAAGGAGGTCTCTTTTTTCTTTGAGTAAATCAGGGAGACATGTCAAAGTAGGTCTGTTAGTATCTCCTGAAAATAAAGATAAATTTGCTATCAAATGAGGACAGGCAGAAGTCTGGATGAGGTACTGTTGCTAACCTCCAGGTAGTGAAGTTGACCTACAGAGATTGCCTTGAGAGTCAGGCTGAAAAATGAAATCTTCCTACCAAATCTCTCAGTGTTTGTTGCCAGGGGCTTCCTGAGTTTACTTCTTTTTACTCTCACCCCCAAACTAAACCAATTTTGTAGCTAGACCAATTATTTAAACATGTCAATCAATGTAGACAAACTTGGTGGATCACTCATTTCAAGTATGGTTTTCAAATTTTAAAAATTTGAGGAAATCTACTCTCTAGCACGGGAAAATAAAAGAGATCTGACTGGGTTGTTGGCTAGAGAGGCAAATTGCTCTTAGGGAGACAGAAGAGGGCCAGAAGACGGACTGAACCAAAGGAACACCGGGGAGAGCCAGAGCAGCTAAATACAAATGACTGTATTATCCACTTAGGGATCTGAGGTAGTGGCTATACAGAAATAGAAGTAGTGAGAACAGACCATAAAGGAACTGAGATACAAAAGAGGAGAGGGGAGGAGAGAAAGAGAATAAAATACTTTCAATCCTGTGGGCTCTACCACAAATAAACTCTGTGACTATGGCTAAATTACTTGACCTATCTGGGGATTTCAGTTTTCTGATAAGCAGAGAGAGAAGTGTGGATTATATTACTTTCAAACCACCTTCTAGCTCGCACATTCTGATAAAGTTTTCCTCATGGTGACCTCCCGAAAGTCAAATTTTAAATTATTTCAGTCTCTCTTTTGAAATCCTCCAATGATTTTTCTATTTCATTTAGAAGGAAAACTGATATTCTAACAAAACTCCTTTGTTAACAGATATCTGCCCACGTCCTAAGACTCATCTGAGGTAATTATATCCCGTTTTCCTTCCTTCAGGCAGACTTCTTTCTCTTCCCAATTATCCTCAAGGTCTTTGCAGAAGTTACGCCCTCTCACTAGAAAGTGCTTCCATTAAGACTTAAAAAAAAATGGTTGGCTTTCCCTTATGATTCAGTACTTTCATATTACATACAATTCTTCATAAATGCTCTACAAGTCAAGTTTTTCTAAACTAGCATCCTGCCACCCTCAAATCCTGCCTGTACATTATTCATTCTTGATTTCACAATCCAAGTTTACTTTTTGGCAAATTATCATGACCTCAAACTATTTCATTTATTTTTCCATTTATTCCCTGCTCCTTACCATTCACTAGAACACTAGAATGTCAATTCCAAGGCAGTGGTCTTGCCTACCACCCACAATATTCAGTATTTTGAGGGTATTTGGCACATAGTAAGTACACAGTAAGTTTTAGTTGATGAATGAAAATGTTGTTAGATTAGAATAATTTTGTATTTTTATACTCTAGAAACGATTACTGTTTATACAAATGTTTTCTTCATTATAGTTTTTTTACAGATCCACAATATTTATACATATTTATGGAGTATATTATTTACTTTAAACATTTGACTCATGATAGATTCAATATTTAAACATCTGAGTTTTCATGTGAGTTACTTTCTGCTATTAACTATAATAAATATTTCTGAATTATAAAAACTACATAATAGAGTACACAATTTTTTTTTACCATGTGGCCCTTTTCAGAATTAAAATAATAAATAATGAGTCATGGTCGTCTATACTGTGCCAGGCATTATGTTAGGAATTTTATATTTCATCCCTCTAATGATTCTGAAAAGCAGACATTCTGAAACCCAGTTCACAAATGAGGAAATGTGGCTCAGTAAGCTTGTGTTAGTCACCCGAATTTATACAGTTGGTATGGGGTCAAACTAAGTTCTAAATTCAAGTATCTGGCTCCACCATGATTTTTCCTTGTCACAATCCTTGAGCCTAACACATATCTACAGTATTAGTATTTCACATGTCAGTGTTTATAGGTTCTTGCTAGTACATAAAAATAATAGTTATGATTAGAGCTACTAATTGTTGAGTGCCAACTGAGTTAGGCAATTTACTCACATGTTAGTTTCAATCAACAGTTTATACATTCAAGTGAGGAAGTATAATGACATAAACATGATAAAATAGAGGATTATATTGACTACTGAGTTGCCCAAGGCCATACAAAATGCCACTGTGTAGGTTCAGCTCCAGGCTTCACCTCCAAATCAATACTACATACCAGTTTCCTTGTCCATAAATCAATGTTATATTTTGTCCTATTGTTTCAAGAAAAGTACATGTAAACTCAGTCCTTTCTATTCATTTTAAAGGCTACTCATTCAAATATTTAGTAATTCCAAATTCTAAGAGACGTCTTCTGACTACCAAATTAACACAGTTTGTTGACTACATTATAAATGTTGTCTTTTCAATAATAGTTTTGCACAGTTTCATCTTGCATCTGAATCAGCTAGAAAGAGCTAATGTGATGAGCTGATTCTACTGTCTTAATACTATTTGAAACAAGGGAAAATTGTTTCAAATTGTCATTTTCAATATTTATAAATGACCACAATACATTAAAATTAATAAATTTAAAGGTTGTTAAAATGTATATTAAACTTGAAGCTAAATTAAAATTACTAATTAAAAATAATCTCTTCTGTTAGAACAAGAAAAGGGCAGACTGTACACAATTTCAAACAATGTGACATTTCTTTCTTTTTCCATTTACTTTGTTTTTTTTACTTTTTTTTTTTTTTTTTTTTTTTTTTTTTTTTTTACCTTCATCTCTTCAACTGCTGTCTGTAATTCATCTGGAGTTTTATATTCAAAATCTCTCTCAAGGTACTCTTCTTCAGCTTGTGTCATCCATTCATGCATCTCTGATAGATCTTTCTGAAGGCTTACAGTTTTCTCCAAACCTCCCTTCAAAGCTTCCTTTCTGGCATAGACCTTCCATAAAACAAGCAAAACATGATTATTGACAGTGATGAAACATTATTATTATATTATTTGATCAGTATGTAAATAATGTAAAGCTTAGTAAAGAAGTAAAAAGCTTATATGCTTAAGAAAATAACTCATGGGGATCAGATACACTTAATTTCCCATGAGTATGAAAATAAGATATGTCTATTTATTTGGCATACTTAATAAAAAGAACATGTTGCCCTATGATGATAATTTAGCTGTTTGTGTGACAATGCTTTTCTGTGAATAGGAAAAAAACAAAACTTTTTAAAAAAATATGTTTCAGTTGGATAATTAATTTTATTGGCATACATAGAAATAGTCATTGTGTTATTTGATAATGTTTTACTAATTTAAGTATTCTAAGAATTTTGTAATCATGTATCTACAGAAAATGCTCATAAATTAAAAAGAAAAATGAAAAGTGCATAAAATACATAGTTTAGTAATTCACAGAAAGAAGGTAATATATGGCCATACACATATGTAAAAGATAATATCATTTATAGTTAAATAATTGCAAGTTGAAATGAATTAATGCATTTTCACATGGAAGATAGGGAAAAATAATGATTAAGAGCTCATTTTGGGCAGGGATGTGGGAAAATCAAAGTGTTTATACTTGTTGAGGGAAATATTCAACACAGTACAACCTTTTAGGTACTAAAATGGCAAGATATGTTAAAACGTTATTCTCCACAAATCCGAGTCAACTATTTCATTTTCTGAGAGTGAATCATGCCAACCAAAGTGTAGTGAGTAACACGTACAGTGTTTAATTCAGCTTTAAAGACCCAACATTTTGAAAACAAACCCAAAGATGCTTTCTTTGGAGATTAAATTATGATATATGCATACTATGGGACACCGTGCATCACTAATACATCTTTACTGAAATGAAAAGTGGCTCAATATAAAATTTTAAGTGTAAAATTCAAGTTGTGAAAGAGTCTCTTGGTGGTTATAGAAAATGTTTGCTGTTTAAAGTCTCATACATTTCTGAAAACTAAGACTTTCTACGGTGGATTCCATTACTCATTAACCAGAAAAGTGCAAAACTTAAAACATCTAAAAGAAAATCAGGCTGGGTGCAGAGGCTCACGCCTGTATTCCCAGCCCTTTGGGAGGCTAATGTAGGTGGATCACGAGAGGTCAAGAGATCAAGACCATCCTGGCCAACATAGTGAAACCCGTCTCTACTAAAGATACAAAAATTAGCTGGGTATGGTGGCGCACCACTGTAGTATCAGGTACTCGGGAGGCTGAGACAGGAGAATTGCTTGAACCCAAGAGGTGGAAGTTAATGTGAACCAAGATCACACCACTGCACTCCAGCCTGGGGATAGGGTGAGACTCCATCTCAAAAAAATAAATTAAAAAAAAAAAAAGAAAATCATATACCTTGTAACAAGGCACTCTATATTATTACAATTATTATACATAGTGCTCACTTTTACTTTAAAAAGTAACTCTATTCAAAAGACTGTATTCTCTCTGGTTTAAACAGCATTCTATTTTTCAAGCATTTTCATAGTATTGTTTTAATATATAATGCATAGTTTTAGTAAAATGAAGCTTTCATGTTACTTTGCCCAATGGTATATATGTGTAGAATCACCATCACATTGATTTTCCTTATAATTTACAACCACGTTGAGTCTAATATAGGTAATACTTCATTTTAGGTTCTTTATTTACCTAGATAAATGTAGTACCTGATCTATTAAAATGTAAATAAGTGTTTCACTCTGAAACATCTAGAACAATGTGTCTTGCAATTGTACTAGTAAAGGTATAAATGTTATTTTGTGTAGTCAATGAACCTATAATAAACTTAAGAAAAAATGCTGCTATTTTTGCTATTTTATAAACTTAAGAAAACATGCTGCTAAATTTCTACTTAGATACCCTGCTCTGTTATAATCTTTTAAGACAGTTGGTAAAGCTACAAAAACCTTAGAGGGACTAATGGAATCTCAACAAGACTTGTTGTAAAAACTATATATACACATACATTTCCGTGTGTGTGTGTGTGTGTGCGCGCGCTCACAGGTGTGTGTGCGCACACGCCTGCACACACAAGTATGGTGAGATACTGTTGGATCATGGAGATTTTGTAGGTAAAAACAACAGCATTTAGAGATAGATTTGATGTTTGGCTGTAAGAAAAATATAGAAGACAAGAAAATCTCAGGGGATTTGGCTTGGATAACTGGCAAGATGGAGTTGCCAATTTGTATTAACAGGCAAATTACTAGGGTAGTAGGCTGGAGTGTACATCAGGAATTTTGTTTTGACATGCTAGATTTAATATGCCTATTATTAGTCCATGTGGAGGTGTTGAGTGGGCAAATTAGTATGCAGATCTATGACCAATAGAAAGGTCTAGATTATTAAAAACAAATCTTACAGCAGGAACAATTTACAGGTTACATTTAAAACCATAGAGCTTGATAAGTTGACCCAGAAAGTGAGTAGTAATAGGAACAAAAAGGAGTCCACAGACTGATCTCTGGAACACTTCCAAATTTACTGGTAGGGCAATAGAGCCACCAAGGAAATTGACAGTAGTCAGGGAAAACTAAGAGATAATTAAGAAAGAATGATGATACTAAAGCCAACTGAATTTAGCGATTTAGTGATGTGAATTCACTGGTGACCCTAAGAAATTTTGCTTCAATAAAATAGTGAGGATGACACTTTGATTTAGCTCTCTTAATTGGCTTCAAGAGAGAATGGAAGGCGTCAAATGGAGAGAAAGGAATTTATGTAAAGGAAAACAGGAATGGAGTGGTGGTGAGACATATTGCTGTCCAATGGAGGATTCTTTAATGACAGGAGAAATTACAGACTAATTCTCTACTGATGGGAAGGATGAAAATGATGGGAATGATGTAGCATAGGGAATAAGTAAGAGGCAGAGGGCTGGTCATTAGCTGGTGTAATGCCTTTGTGCTGAAAAAAGGGAAAGGAATCCAGTACATAAGTGGAAAAGCTGGCTTTAGACAAAAGCACAGAAAGTTCTCCTATGTTAACAAAGGAAAAGTAGAGTCTATGATCTTATATGCAGGTCAGCGGGAGTACTGCAACTTCTATTTTGATTGCTTGTATTTTCTCAGTAAAACAGGAAGCTAGTTTTTGCAGAGAGTAAGAGGGAAAGACAGACTGTTAGAGAAGTCTATACTGAGTCAGAGAAAGACAATGATCTGCAAGCTGCCAGAAAGACATGCACCGAACCTCTAAATCCCATTTATTGATAACTATTTATTATTACTTTAAAGCCACTAATAAGTACAATATATAACCATAGATTATTTAGAAAGTGTACATGTTTTATAATTTTATATATGCAGGTTTCTATTCTCTATTTTACTTAACAAATGTGCATAATGATTACTGTATGTTAGATGAAGCTCTACACACCTTGGAAGGGTAAACTATTATACACTTTTTATGAATGAGGCATTAATATTATCACATTTTAAAGACTGGAAGACTGAAGCACAAAGAGATCAAACAACTATTCTAGAGTTTACACCGGCAGTTTATGATGTGGATAGATTTAAACCCAGGCAATCTGATCTCACAGCTTCTGGTCTTACACACTGTGCCTTTCCATCCACAAAAAAAAAGTATTCTCCAGTATTTGACCATGTGTGTCTGGTTTATTTTACTTAGCATACTATCCTCCACGTTCATCTATGTTATTGCAAATGTAAGAACTTTCTTTTTTAAAGCTAGATAATATTCCATTATATGCATATACCACATTTTCTTTATTTATTTGACAAACTACATTTAGATTGCTTTCAGGTCTTGGCTACTGTGAATATTGCTGCTGCAAATGTAAGGGTGCAGATACCTCCTTGAGATCCTGATTTTACTTCCTTTGCATATATATCCAGAAGTGGGATTGCTGAATCAAATGGAAATTCTATTTTTAATTTTTTGAGGAACCTCCATTCTGTTTTCCGAAATGGCTGTATAAATTTACATTCCAAACAACACTGTACAAGAGTTACCTTTTCTCCACATTCTTGCCAACACGTATTACCTTTTACTTTGTTTTGTTCTGATGATAGCCATTCTAAAGGTATGAAGTGGCATCTCACTGTGGTTTTTAAGTGCATTTTTTTGGATGATCACTGTCATATCTTTTCATATACCTGTTGGCCATTTACATGTATTCTTTAGAGAAATGATTATTCAAGTCCTTTGCTCATTTTTAATCAGGTTATTTTTTAGTTTTATTTTTTGATTAAGATTTAGAAGTTCCTTATATATTTTGTATATTTATCATTTGCCAGATTTATGATTTGTGAATATTTCTTCCCATTCCCTAGAATCTAAAATAGTCAAACTCATAGAACTAGAGAGTGAAAGGCTAGGAGAGGAGGAAATGGCAAAATGATGCTCAAAACATACAAAGTTTCAGTTATGCAAGATGAATTAGTTCTGGAGATCTACGTACAACATTGTGCCTATAGTTAAAAAAACTGTATTGCTAAAAATTTTCATCTACGGCCATACCACCCTGAACGTGCCCAATCTTGTCTGATCTCGGAAGGTAAGCAGGGTCGGGCCTGGTTAGTACTTGGATGGAAGACTGCCTAGGAATACTGGGTGCTGTAGGCTTTCTAAAAATAAAAATTTTCTAAGAGGCTAGATCTTAGGCACTCTTATCACAAAAGAAAAAAAATAAGTAAGTTAATTAAGGGGTCAGAAGGAAACTTTTGGAGGTGATAGTTGAATGTTGTAATGGTCTCATGAGTGTATATTTACTCTTTAGCTCATCAAATTGCATAAATTAAATATGTACAACTATTTGTACGTCTATCATACAAAGTGATTTAAACAGAAATAGATTATTTTTCATTTCAAAGAATTTATAAATTATTCAATTTGTTCAAGTATTTTAGGGGCAGGGGCATGGGGAAGTCTTCTCAATAGGCAATAACATCATCCTCAGCAAACTGACACAA